AGCCGCCGAACGTTTGACTGACGGTAGCGAAAAACGCATTTGTTGGTTGAGCTTTGAATTTTTAGAGTCCGCATTTTATTGAAAGGCGCAGTATTGCTGTAAAAGAAAAAGAGAAAAAAATCACACTTACCTTGAGCGAGGCACTAAACAGCTGTTATTGTTCAGAAAGTCACAAGTCCGAACAATAAAGAAGTTGACAACAAAGCAGAAAAAAAACACACCCACCTTCAGCGGACCACTTCAACATTAAAAACTCCTGGTAAAGATGACTTCTCACTTCAACGAAAAAGTACGCACACACTCACGTATCATTTCAAGTTAAAGATGAAGTTTATTTCTCTTTTTTTGGTACATGAACTCGTCCTGTTGGTGATCTTCAAGTTTATTAGCTCGTTTGTTGAGACTGAGCGTTTAGCATAGCCGCGCTGTCGCAGTGGAATGCTCTTCCGAAAAACATAACTATATAATTACCGAAAACCTACTTGTCGATTTTTAGATTTGAAAGCTTTTTAGTATTGTAAAGTAGTATTGTAATGTAGGAGAATTGACTCATATCGTGCAGGCGAAACGACTTCGATCGTGTAGGCGAATCGACTTGTAGCCGAAACGACCGACTACCGTTACATAAAAGGGAGGGCGTGATATGTCCTAATTTATGTGTAAGAATGTATAAGAATGCACGTATAAGATGATGTGCATGAATGGATAAGAACATGCATAATCTTTATTAAACTAAGTAATACGACATTTGGTAACCAATTACGGAGAAAGTCAGAACATGCCGGACCTAAAACTCGAGAGAAGTCAGGAAACGCGGATAATTTGTTCAAATTAAAGGTCAAAATATGCCGGATGGTATGATTTTACTATTCAGGAAACGCGGAATGTATTTTTTCGGAGGTCAAAAGAGATGCGTACTGTCTAATTTCAAAGACAGGAAATGAGTGAAGCAGGTAAAAGAAAAGATTGAAAAGTTAGCTTTTAATTTTGACCCTGAAAACGCGCCATATAACCTTCGTGTTCAATTGTTTACATATTTCTTACCTGCTTACCTCCATTCGTCGTTTTCATTTTCGAGTTCCCGATCCAACTCACTTTCCTCACTACTTGACATCCTAACACGACTGACCACGCGGTTTGAAAAAAGTTCGTCATGTAGGGTACATTGAGAGTTCCTGCCTGAAACTTCGCAGGTGATTAGCTAAATTACCAGTCACGCTTTCCTCGAAATTTCAGAGGAATCGGACGTAACAAAAATATCAATACGAAATTTTTTCGAGGTGGTTCCTGCAGGAACGAAATTTGAAGGGCCGACTATAGACGATGTTTTTAAATTTACCCTGATAATACTTCAGACTTTGTATCACCTGATGACTTTGATGGTGTGGAAGTTATTTTAAAACCGTTATAAAGAAGAACCGTACTGATTGTTACAAACCGAGATGTGTGTCATGCAAAAAGTAAACCATTGTTAATGTTATGCAAAACATGCCCTTAAGGTGGCTGAATACAGTTTTTGATTCCTGTGTTTCATTCACCTTTTTCTCTAAAACCCTTGATCTCTCGGTCGCCAAAAATGGCAGCAAGGAAGTTAACAACACAAACGTTGGTTTTTCGATGGTTAAGCTGACGTATGTGCCGTTGCCATGGCAACACGAATAAAAATAAACAGGCCAGTTTTGTGTATTTATAGAAAGTCTAGTCATTAGCTTTTCTTTATAATTTGAATGCAACAAGCTTGTAAGGATTCTCACAAGTTAACACCATTTTGCTAATAATTCAACAGCGAGATCTTTAATTATCCCTTGTTGAAGTTTTACTGGAATGTCTAGAGTTTCCTTTGTTAAAGTTCAATTGTTTTCAATACTCCAGTTACTTATTTCCTAAAGTGTTTTCGTGCCAAATTTCGTGAAATTCTAATGAGTGGTTCTCGAGAAATAGGCGTATTTCCGAGAGTGCAAATTTTCATTCAATCGCAATTTTTTGACTTAATACGCATTCGCTGCATTTAACTGGGTTCTTTCGGTAACAACGAAAAAGCTGAGAATTGCTGAGTTCTTTCCATCTTTACCTTTTTTAACATATATTTGTGATAAAAGACTAAAGCCATCAATACACTGCGTTCA